CCTGGAGGCTTCGGGGGCATGTAGGCCTGGACGACACATGGCCGCGGGGGACTGATGCCCTGGTGGGCATAGGGTAGGGTGACTGCCCTGGGCAGAGCCCACATTGCCGGAATGTTTCCTCTGGACCAGATGCAGGCCACATGGGGAGAGTCCCAGGCCGCGGGATGTTGGGACTGCAACAGAGAGACTCTGCATGGGGTGAACCCCACCAGGTACTAAATGAAAAGTGGGGAGCAACCAGTGGGAAAAACTTGGCTTGCATAAAGGAACTGGAGAGTAGAGCTCTCCAGTGATGGAAGAAACATCAAACAAACCAGACCCCTCAAAAAAGGGCTGGCCTTAAACATCAGCCACCGCCAGAGAAAACCAGTGTCAGGTTACACTAGTGTTGATGCTGAAGGACCCCTCCTGCCTTTTATTTCTCCTTACTGTCGCCCAGGCCTGGAGGAGTCAGAAATCCAGCGCCTGGGGGCAGGAAAAGTATGAGAAAGACAAGGAAATAGAGAAGGATCTGCATGCTTCTTCCCCCATTAGAGGGCTCCACCTGAGGCAGCCTGAGCGGGAGAGGGGTAAAGCTTTACCTCTAAGTGGAATTTTGACTATGACATGAAACTGTACATTATTTATCAAAATGACACATTTTCTGACACTAGAACTAACAAGAGGACATTTTGTGGTCTCAGATAAACCAGAAATTGTATGGGATCATCTCTAGACTTTTGCCAAGAAGTAGGAAAAAATTGGCCCCACAAACTGGGTTTGAATGGGCAAATGGGGAAAAGAAGAGTTGTGTATTGGCATGAGCTGCAAGACTTTATGAATATACCAATTTTTAGATACAGTACATATTGTCTGCCTTCAAAAATTACAGGAACTGCATGCAAACTTGCCACCCCCAAACAAAATTAAACACTGTTCTTAAAGCCAAAGCCCCCTTTGATTTCTACGTCCATCTTTACCCCCTCCCTGCCAGCCTGTGCTGTGAGATACTTTATATTCGTATGGAACAGTTAACTAGGCAAAGTTTTCTTCTTTATTTTCTCCTGTCTACTGTCATTTGATCCTTATGGCAATTCCTTGCAGATACTAGGAGCTGAGTGGAGTGTGAACTCCGTTTTACAGAGGGGAAAGCTGAGGCTCGTGGATGTCACAGGGGTGTCCATGTGCTCACATCTGCTGGGGGCGTCAAAGGTCCTTGCCTCAGGCTGCGTTGCGATCATAAGTATGGATTGGTTAAGCAGCCCATTTCCCAAGGGCAGCAAGGTTTGTCTTCTCTTTCCTTCCTTCTTCCCTGTAGCTCGCCCTTTGGAAAGGATCTTTGTTTGCATCCTTGGTATGCTGACCCTTGCTGCTGCCCCTGCGTGCCTTCCCTCTTAATGGAAGGCCTGGCATCCCTACACCTTAGTCATGCCCAATTCATTTTCGGGGACCAGGTCAGCCAAGCCAGCATTTACTCAGGCCCAAAGCCACTGGGTGGAGTCTTTTACAACATCAATACTGACAGCCAATGAGGAGGCTTGCTTAGTTCAAGTTCACTGCCTTTTGGCATTGATGCCCAGTGCCTTTGGGATACATCCATGGCATTCCTTTCAAAGGTACAATGACCATCTTTTGGGCAGCTTGCAAGCCCCACAGATTCAAATGAGGCCCCCTGGTGTCATTTCATTTGGCCCTTAAGGCTGGAAGCCACCCCCGGGCTTCTCTCAGGATTTGGAATCATCACCTTGTAGCTCGGAGTGAGAAATTCCTCACTAAACAGCCAACTCTATGCAGTTCTTTACAAGGGGGAGGCTATAAAATGCACACAGGGAGGATTCAGATTTCGGGGGAAACTTGTTGGGATTGTTACCTTCCCTTCTTGCCTTTTAAAATTTAACTTAAAATTCTAACCAATTGAGGAAACATAGCACCCACGGTTAGGGTCATCATAAAACAGATCATGTAAACCACATGTATCACCTGGGACTCCCTGGTGATACCCACCCCAGTTTTAGCATCCCATCCAGGCCACCCTTTGGCTGAATTTATTCATCTCGTCCATACACCCAATTTATTTTTTAAAATTCTAAATTGAATTTCCCCTTTACTGAATAGCCATGCTATTAAATTGATGGATTTGTGGTTGGGGTGTCATAGCACTGTCAGAATACTGCCATTAGTATGAACAAGGCTTTGGGATGAGACCTAAGTCTAAATTTTGGATTAACTACTTTCTGTAAGTGAGACCTTGGCTAAGATACCCACTGCTGGCTGCTGACGGGCCTCAGTGTTTTACCTGTACAGCGATTCTCAGTGACCCTTGGACCAGCAGCTTCGACATCACTGGGGAATCTGTTAGAAATGCACATTTTCAGCACCGCACCCCAGCTCTACTGAATCACAAACTCTGAGGGTGGGGCCAGCATGTTGGAACAACCCCCCAGGGTGATTCTGATTCTGCCAAAGTGGAGACCCTCCTGGCTCTGCATGACGGAGTGATGGTCTCTCGTCTCGCCTTGATTGGGTTGGGGTTTATGACATAAGGAGGGGACTAGCTGTGCTTTTCAGCACTCTGCCCTGACACCTCTGCCCCAGTGCACACAAGATGTTAGAAACGTGTGTCACTGGGTGAGCACGTAAGAGTGAAGGGTGGTGTCATTGCTGTGTTGACATCTGAATAAGTAGCTAGGAGATAGTCTTTCTGGTCCCGCAGGAACTCTGATGGGGAAAGGGAGCCAATGCAATGATGCTCAGTGAGCATGGGAAGGTGCTTGGTGAGGTACAGCCCCTGAGGGACACGGGCAGGCACCACAGCAAACCTTCAAGTCCACATTCAGGTCTTAACATAAACCTGATGTCGCCTAAACTAGGCTGCAGGCTTCCGGACCCTGACACGCTGCTCATCTTGCCAACATCTGGGGGGAACTATCTTGCTTTCTTCGGTCTCCGTCTCTCTGAACTTGGTTTGGTGGTGGTATTGGCAGGGTCTTCTCATTCGGAGAATGCTAGGGGTAGAAGTCTCCAGTTGGCCTGGTCCTTGAAGTGCGTCAAATGTTTCCCTCCTCTGCCGTGTACAGGACCACTCCCGCCCTGCACACATAGTTTCTGCATGACCACAACCCTCCCTGACAGCAGGGTGGCCCCCCCCCCAGTTATCCCGAGCACAGGCCTTTCGGCTCCTTGGCAGAGGCGTGTCCCCGGGAAGGCTGGGGAGCCTGGAAACGTCTGCTGAAATTAATGGCACTCTGCCCTGAAGAAGCTGAACGCAGGGCCTCCCAGGCAGCCGCGGAATTCACAGTCTCTCAGGTGAACTGTGAGAACACAGAGGTATGAACGCATCAGGCGATGCTGACAGGGCGAATGTCAGCCTTCCAGACTGAGCCTCTGCGAGGCTAGCCCAGGGTGTGATTAGAGGCAGCTTCCCGACCAGCCCGCGGTAAACACCAGCTCTCCGCTCCTTCCAGATCAAAAACCAGTCATGCGGAGCAGAGCCTTTTCGCTGGAGTCATTCTCCACCTCATCCAAACACCTCACATTCCGAAAAGAAAACACACCTCCCCAGATCTCCCCCTGACCCCATCAAAATCAGAAAGCAGAGGGAGAACAGAAAGAGGGCCTTTTGGACACGGACGTTCAAACAGATTTCCGTTTAGAAGAGGTAAACCACTGAGGGAGACAGCAGATACAAACACACACACGTTACCTTCCAGTGATGAAATCCGGAGTCCTTGCTTGTTTCTCCTTGTACTGTTTCTTAACCTTTGGTCACATGGGGCTCTCTAATGGGTATTCCAGATGTCTCTCTGTATTGGGATTCCACTGTAATTGTCTCATGAATTATTATTGATAATTTTGTTGTGTGAGGAATGAATAATGATGGTTATCCTTAAGAGAAAACTCACAAAGCGGGTATTGGTTCATTTATGTCTCAGCTCAAGCAGTGCTCATTTCACATTGGAGAGTCTGGAAGGCAGAAGAGGGAGAGAGGTATGTCTGTTAAAGAAAAAAAAACTGAATGCAAACAACGTAAGCCTCACGCGTGTTACATGAGGGTGAGGAGGAAATGTTTGCCACTCTTAACGCTGCTCCGTGCCAGCTACCTGTGCTACAGGCGTGAGCAAGGTGGTGGTGAAATGAGCTCAAAGTAAAGTTCATTAACAGAGTTACTGCTAGTCAGAAAGAATAAGGGTCCCTGAACTGTGTTCCAGGGCCTTTCGGTTTCCCTAGATCTCCTCCTCTCTTGCTGACTGGTGCTCCTGACATATTTAATGGGGCATGATAGCATTCATTTTTCTACTGGAAAGAAATAAATAGGACAAAGTTTTAACTACAAGTGGGGCAATGTGCCTAAGAGCAGATTAATGCATATTTGACTAATAGAGCGTCTTCCCCACAGTGACCTTGGCCAATGAAGAACACTCCAAGCCTTGGAGCCAAGGGGAAGGGCATCAATGTGCTCAGGCTTCTATCAGCACGACTCAGATTTGACTGCTTTATCCCACAATCCGGGACTGATATTAAACATTCACCTCTGAGCTGACTGTTGCAAGGAATTCAGACTTAAATACACTATGATCACCCTTCTCTGTTGGTCTCCTTGGAGAGAGACGTCACAATTAACTCACATAAAGTCTGGCCTCTGATGAAGCATGAGGGGTGCACACACAAGGCACAGGATGGTAGGTCTTGGGCCACAGGATAGGAGGAAAAGGCCCTGGAGACAGAAGTCACAGCTCAAGCAGGGGCTTGGAGGTGGGAGTGGGTGGGAGGTGCTAGGTAAGGGCGGGGGAGTGCCGTGTGGCTGGACTGAAGGATGGTAAGAGGCACTGATAAGATCAGATCT